CCTTTGTCTTACCAATAAAAACATAAGGGTGTACTATGCGAGAAAATGTTGACAGAAGTTTGTTGACGATCAGGAAGTTCCAGCACTTTCTTAGTGGTTTTTCAAAATTTTTGCTTTCATTTTTTACTATCAGATCTGAATGTTTATTATTCCTGTTTTTTACCATGGTCGACGTTAGTGATAGCACAAGATAGCAGGTTTAAAACACGCTGTCAGCTTGCTGCTTTTTTGTTAATCTGTTTTCACTTTCAGCAGTAATGAGCTCCCCTACGTGCGTCGCCACCTTTGTTAGAGAAAAATGTCACATGACCACATGATGAACCGTATGTGCCGAACGACTTCGAGAACTGCCAAACGTACTGTGTAAACAGATTTCAGGATCACCCAGCTACGCGATTATGATCTTAAGCGTAATTAGAAGTAAACATCAATGTTTATTTATTAATATTAATTCAAAATCAGCATAAAACAGATAGATTAGTACATCCATGATTATACATTGTACTAGCATTTTAATTCCCTGAATACAATTATTCTCGGACCTTGCCTTACCTAAAAGCATTGACGCAAGTTATAGGAGTGATTTTAATGTGTTGATAAAAAAAATTACATGTGTAAAATTTGAAAAATATTTGTTAGTGCAAGTTATTGCTTGCTTTAATAGGAAAAGGTCTGTGTTTCGATTGGTTTAGAGGACTTCTTTAATAATGCAAGCTGTGGTTAAATTCTATTGGACATACATGTATGTAGTGAATTATGCAATTTCTCATAATATCCACATGATATTAAAATAAGCTTATTTATGATTGTAAATGTAGTGCATATCAGAATCTGAATTTGAATCTGGTCGCAAAAAATATTAACACAACTATTTTTGTAGTTGCACCAAATTTAAACAAAATCAGTAAAAGTTCATTTGTACATGTATGAGAAATGCATGGGGTATGTTAAAACAAATGTGCGTATAAACATTTATGATTACCGTACATGTACATGTATGTGTTGTCTTTGTACCTACTTTTAACAAAATTGGCCAATTTACATTTGTACATTTAAGAAATAGATTTTACCCCGATAAAACAGTAGTTCAGCAATAACATGTGAATAAAACTACCACCACTATACCCACAAGGGTCATAATTTTCTAATATATCTATTGTTTTTCACGTAAATATCCATAAAATTTACAGTTCAGCAAAAAATATGACCTTCACTGGGGAGATCAGTAGTGGAGACAGCATCCCGGCAGTGTGCATGCATAATAGTTCTGACGGGGTTCAACTCTGTGTCTGTTGACTCCCAATGTGTTCAACCAAAGAGAAGCTGAGTAATAGGCATGTTTTAATTAAAATATAAGTTTACTCCAGATATGGGTACGACATGGACTGTATTGTGTAATTAAATCATTTTGATCCCTAGCAAAAATATAAATGACTCTGAAATAATGGAAACATAGATAACAACATTTAAAATCAACTGAAAGCTGTTTAACTAGATATTAACTAAAAACAGAAATTAATTCAATATTATAAAAAGCTTTGTTGAAATGTGTACATGTTTCCGTTTATGAAAAATAACAGTGAGCTAAAATGTTAGGAACTGTACTGATCTGACGTCTGATGCCTACTTTTTGTTCGTATAATATGGTATAATACTATATTCTAAATCATAAAGAATTTTCTATTAAATATGAATTGTATAATTCAAACAATAATTCCCATCTATGAAAAAAAAAATCTTATAACACTTCTATTGAGAGCTGAATTTTTACTTCAAGCTGCATACACTTAATATTGTAATTAGTATTAGACCAACTGTGACACAGAATCATATTTTCTCATGAATATTTTATTCTATTGGTAATGATGAATTCTGGCACACTTATTGCACATTCCATAATAATACATTATTTTTCACATTTTTGTTTCTATCCTTCAGCAAAATAGTAAATGTGGTATGAAAGACATGAAAAAGAATGCATCTAATACAATACAAAATTATTTGTTTTACATTTAGTTTTTTATCACAAAATTCTGTTATGTTTGAGTAAATATCATAATTTCATATGAGAATAGTTTTATTGTATTAAACTGTTTATATAATTACTTAACAGAGAATAAGTATGGACAATTTACATTGGAAAAGGGACAATGAAGTTATTTTTACCTTGAGGACAGTCTAAAAATAATTAATACATGTTATTGTTAGGTGAGAATAACTAAATAAATTATACAGTGGGTATTTCATAGAAATATGAGCATTACCGGTAATTTAATTTGAAATCATACTGTGACAGAATGGCCTCGCCCTGACATATGAAGTTATTTTCACAAATAATACGCTGTATCCTGCAGCCATATTTTCACGAGTGAAGTGAGTGAAAAATACAGCATGGATATACCGCACCCAGAATGAAAAAAACTTCGATATCACATAAATGTCAGGGCAAGGCCATGGCGCTGTTATTATTACATATGTTCCCAGACGAAAGTCCCAAGGAAAGTTGTGACCAATTCGGAATGAGTGCGCACAAGGAGAGTGCCCTTTTTTTTAAATCTGATGACTGGACATTTTTTGAGAAATAGGGGGTCTTCATGTGTATTTTAACATCGATATCAAAGAATAAATGAAACCTCCATCTAGGAAGAGACTGGGCATCCAGAAAGTATGTGTACACAGGGGCTATTTTTAAGCATTTTCATTTCCATTCAGGTTTTCGATGCTTTAAAAACAACCTGATTTGTTTATAATTTGCTGATCAATATAGAAACGACAGTTTGATTTGTTACTCAATTTCTGAAGAAAATGAACACAGATTACATTAGCAGTGACACATCACTTTGGATTTGACATTGTTTTTAGTTCAAGCTAGTACTGCACTTGACTGTGAAGGGGCTCATTTGCATATTTTTGTTGTCAATACCAATATTGTAACTATGAATCCCGCAGTACATACATGTATGTAATAATGGCTGTTATTTCTAGTATTACCAGTAAAATAAATTGTAACACAACTAGGCGAGTGAATAAGCAGAATCAGTATTGTGTCTGGTCTGCACCAAAACAAACATCAAAATTGTTTTCAATTCAATTCAGCACTATAATGATTGTATAATCGAACAGAATCAGTCTAAAAATGGCTAAGCATAACAATATGGCATATTATTTCAATATAAGAAATCGACAGGGGCAATAAACCATTAGGCTTTTTTGGCAAGTATTAATACAATTAACAATCTGAACTGTTTCCTTAAGTACCGTGAAAACGAACACCTTATGAGTGCCCCTCTGGTCAGCTGTGACAGGTGTTTTGTTACAAATTTCTGCTCTACATGTATGTAATAACATGTTTGGATTTTCTCTTTAGTGCTATTACATTAGTGTCATCTGGTGGTGTGCAGGTGTTGGCGGCACAAGATACATTAAATATTAAAATCAGAGTTTAGAAACAGTGTTTGTTTGTTTTATTTTTTGTGCACAATAAATGCTCAATCATAAACTAGACAGCATCTATATACAATATTCATTTAGATATAGTACCTTTTTAATCAAATTTTTCAGAAATATTGAAAGATTTTTCACACTTATTCCCGTGACATCATTAACCTACATTCACTGAATGAGATATCTTGGCCTCTACCTTTGACATGAATACATTATTAAGAACATCTATAATTAATAAAGGAAAGGGAAAAGAAAGAAAAAATATGGCGTCCGACTACACTAAAAGAAAAATTTCCGTATTTGATATTTGTGTTAACTAACTCAATGATTAAGACGTTGTTGTGTACGTGTCCGTGAGTGAATACTTCAGTACATTTAAATGACGAAAGGACAACACAACAAATTTTACATAAGAAAGGACGACTTACAGTGCTCGCCGAGATGAAAGAATAGTCACGGGGTTGCTGTGTCGCTTGAAATACACTTTTTCGCTTCAAATAATTAATAGTTGGCAACCCCCGGATTTTGTTATATATAGCTCCAACATCAGATTATCGTGGGTTAACTGAGTAACGGGTTGATTAATAGTTAAAAAATAGATCCAAAATAAAGTTTGTTTACTATATATCGCCAAAGCTGGCAGACGACAGCTGATTTCGAAACAATACGTCAAAGAACATTTCCGTCATCAGCGCTTAATATCTTAAATGAAACACACATTTCAAACTGAATTTTCAAATTAAAGAATGAGTTATAACAATATATACATATATAGTCTACACAATCAACAACAAATTGTAAGATGCAACATAAGACGTATGTACTTACATGCCATGCTTTTACTTCTAAAGGCATCCTGCCTTCGCCTTGCATATGACTTCGTCTTGCGGGCAGAAACGCGACCATGGAAGATTCATTACCATCTCATTTGAATATGAATTCATCTTGGACGATTCCACTTTCCCGTGCGTGTCGTTAAGTGAATTCGGTTGGAGGTAACGCAAGACACCACTACCAAGCGATAATTGATAGAATATACAAACATAGCTCCTTACATCATTATATGAAATAAGTTTTTTTTTGAATGTCTTTTTTTCCGCAGTTTTGACTGAGCTAAGGTCAAAGGTCGGCTTCCGCCATTTTGATTTTACGTGGCTTAAGTGTTGTGGAAACTTGTTTCATCGGTATTTTATGCCACGATCATGGATAATGATCCAATAAATTTGACAATAACGAGTGCCCCGACATCTCTGTGTTTCGACAAAAACGCATTTATGCAGGTAAGTTTGCAAATACGTCAACAGTTTCCTTGCATGTTGATGCTTTCCATTGAATCGGCACGGCGACGAATTTAGTCACAGTTCTGTTCAGTTCTTAGACTTTATTTTCTCATAAATACAAACATGATACATAAATAGAAATGGAAATTTATTACAAACAGAACGGAAAACAAAAATAATAGCCCAGTTACCCGCTTCACAATGAAAATAGGGGAATACAGTTTTTATATTATTGAGCATTGATTAATTCATAAACACCAATAATTTAAACTTTCGTACACAAAATGTTTTTGTTTTGTTTTCTAAATACTGTTACACATTTGATAGTTTGTGATACTAACTGTAGGAATTAAATCTGTCCAAATGTTACTTTGATATTTAGTCAACAATATTTTGCTGTTTCCTTGTCTCGCGAAAATTTGGTAATACACTGTCAATATACGTCAGAATACAATACAAGTCACGTCTCGTACACTTGACCTACATAATGTAGCAGTCTGGCTGCTTAAACTTGTGAGATAGAAGTATTGTTATTAGATAAAGTTATTTTTATTGTAAAGTGATAACACAAAGCATAAGAGAATATAAAGGGAACCCCTGCACTTCATATAGAATGGCCATTTTGTTAAAATTTTGGAGTGTGTGTAAAATCACATGTAATATAAAGGAAATTTCACATCTAGCATCGAAAACAGTAGGATTTACTATTCCATATCAAGCTGCATGCTGTCATTTCAAAACGCATCAACATGCATTGAACTGTTCAAATTGGGATAAACTACATTGTACATCACCAATGTTGACACAATGTTGTTGATGTCATATAAACATTCTTTTGTTTACATAGAATCGTTATAGTGTGATGGAATAGTATCCAGTCACTCAATGCAAACATCGTGTTTTTGTGACCATTTTGGGCTATAGACTTACATTTAATTAACACTACAAGCAAGAACAAGATGTGTAATAATGTTATCACAAGAGTACTGCAAAGAATATGCGAATGCACTATGTTGATACAATCACTGTATTGCCTTTGTGCATTCTTAGTAGTATACTTGTGATGAATTCAATATATTTTCTTTTCATCATATCGTTTGTGTTTTTTAAAATGAGTGTTTAGACCAATTAACAGAAAGCAGAATCACACAATTACTAACACTACTATTTGTTATCCAAACCTGAAAATGAATCGAAATCTGAAAAAAAGGCTAGCTTTGGTTGAGCCTCATCAGATACATGTATCTTTGAGTGTATAAATTGTGGTATTATGATGAATGTGTGCTATTGTAATGAGAGAGACAATGAAGTAATTTTACAAATGCTGGTTACCACAATCTCTCCTGTACCAGGTTGATTTCGACGTTGACCAGTTTGTTGCAGAATGCCGTCGACATGTACCGCTTGAAACCCTACGGGATGATCTAGATACCTACTTCAAGTCTTTGAAAAGTGCAATGGTGGAATTGATTAATAAGGACTATGCTGACTTTGTGAATCTCTCCTCAAATCTGGTAAAACATTAATCTGACAGTAATTTTTATTAATTTGTTTCAAGTCTGATCTATGGTATTGTATGTTAATAAAGTGCAATTTTATGGTATAATCATGTGACCTTTCAACTTCAGAATTTGGTCAAAATTGGCAGACTGGTGGCCATTTTGTTTGTCAACAATTCTTATTGATAATGCTGTCGCTAAGTTTTTGCCTCCGGTGTGCGAAGCACACAATGGGAGTCTTTGCAGTTACCCTGTCTGTATGTGTGTGTGTGTGTGTTCTCTCCGTTCCGTATGAAGAAGAACCGTATGTTGGTTTTTAATGAAACTTGGTGTATAGATGCTCTGGGCTAATGCACAGATTTGATTAGGTTTTAGTTGAAATCCATACATATTAATCATGTTATGCATCTCAAATAGCAGACAAAAATTCGTTGCCAAGCTTCTTGTTTGAAAAGTGAATCTTAAATTAATTTTAATGTGTCTCCAATACTCTCAGCACGCGAGAGTTCTTTCTAAGCTTTCAGTTTGGTATGTAGAAAAGGCAAGTTGAATACAATTTGAATTTTATAGTGGACTTTTTGACATAATTTGCTTATATCTCAAAACACGCTGTCCCATAATGTTTATTAAACTTGGTACATGTACACTGAAAATTGTGATTTGCATATAGATAAAAGTTGATTTGTGAGATGATCCAATCCAAGATGGACTCTGGCAGCCATTTTGGTTGATGTGCGTCATCATTTTTCTCTTTTTTTTTTCAAAATTCTGATCTCATCTCATCGCTGACTTGGTGTTGTTGATGTTTCTTGCTGAATATATATTTCATTAATGTTGTCACATGACATACTTGGTATAATTAAATTAGTTAACAATTAGTATATTTAAATGAAGAGACATGGCTGTGACATAATATTGTTTGTGCTTTGTTTAGGTTGGTATGGATAAAGCTATAAATAATCTTTCTGTTCCCCTGGGGCAACTTAGAGAAGAAGTCTTGGTAAGTTAACATATACCGGATTTGGCTGATACCCCGCCCATCCTAAACCCCGCCCATGGGCGATGTTTCAAATAATGGGCGATGTTTTGGTCCACACATTGCCTGACTGAACCAACAAACATTTTTACATACCCCAATTTTCCCGTCCGACATCTTGTATCGAGCGCGCTATTTCAAATATGACGCTAAAATAATTCACTGTGAAGTCGAAAAGCATTAAAACTTCAATAAAACCAATGCTGTATACAAATTGTTGTTGCGTATTATGACTCGTTAAAATACATTTCACTTACGTTTATTACACTTGAATAAAGGCACGCTTGAAAAGAATGTTATTTACGAAGTTTAAAATATCCAAGCCTTCCTGGTTCGAGCCTCTTGGTTGTTATCAGTAATGTTTAATCTTTGTCTGTATCGCATTCCAGACAAAAAGTCGGTAAACAAGAAATGGGCGAACTAAAATGTCTCCTGCGTTTCACATGCGACATGTTTATTAAAAAACACAGAGTTAAGCAGTCATGTATGTTCTATACAGCTAACCTTGTACACATAATCTTGTACTGACGTGTTTTTTGTCCAAAAAAGACGTTCCCTTTCAGTTAACCCCCAGTTAACTTTTAGCGTTCATGGTATTTCTAAGAGTTGAAAGATTTTTTTAACAAATGACAAGTAACTATATTGATTTGCGTCAAGCTGTGTGGCCCGAATTTAAATACCAGTGCGTGAACTCTGGAAGTCATTGCCCAATGTCGCACGTAATTCAAACGCGTGGTTATTAGAGTTCAGTCGAAATATACGTGAATATTGTGTTCAAAGTGCGCTGTCCAGAGTTTGTTATATTATAGTAAAATTTAACTTGACACATGTTCACTTCATTTCAAATAAAAAATCACCATTGGAACATCCATGAATCACAAGTATTTAAAATATTTTCTTGACTTTCTGTAGATACCCGACTACTATCATTTTTAATGA